GGCTTCACACTCACTGGCCTAGTTTGGCTGCAGCTAAACCCCAACTGATGGAAKCAAAGCACGCGGCTTGCAGGATATCAGTACATGATGCGTGGGAAGATGAAACTGAGCCAGCCACCTATGCCTTGGTAAATCAGCACCTATGCAAAGTCAAAGGAGCTCAATTAGCACAGCTGAAGCCTTTCCACATCACAGCAGTTCACACCTGGGCAGCATCTCCTCCCAGGCTGGTCTAAAGTATTGCCAAAATTAGTCTGGAAACAGCACAGTGCCACAGCAATGGTAAGATGAGGGGTGTTAGCATTGACTAGCCACTGCTAAAATACTGTGTACCCCTAGCCATGACCAGGAGAAGCAGTCTGTCCAATGCAGAGCTAAAATTATCCTGCTTTTCTAACATGCAGGAATCCCTTACACATCGACTTCAGCTGTTGCTCATTACAAAACACAGCTTTTTTCCAGGAAGGAAGAGTTCATTTATTCTTAAATTACGCATTTGTCTAATTGTTTATATACAAGATATTCACTTTTGTTTTCACCCATGGTCAATCCATTCAGTGATTCATCCCATCCTGAAATGAATTTTAAGGCCTTGATTTCATGCACATTCATTCCTTATYTTTCTCATGGTTCATCATCTGTTCAGAACACACAGAAGTTCCTGTCCGATGTGTCCATTTATCATTTCTTAGGTGGATTGCAAAAAGGGCTGATACTTTGCCTAGATCCTACCCAAAGCAGCAAGATGTCTGAGCTACATCAGGACTTGTGAACTGCTTCCATGTGAGATAGTTCAGGCAAAGCCTTTGACAGAGGACAGAAGACCTTTCAGGGATGCTTTCATCTTGCCAGTTAGATGGGATGAATAAGTATTTCTAAGTATGTAGAAAAATCCATCCCTGCTGCTACAGAATCACTTCTGCAGTGATTTCCCAGGGAAAAAAAAAAAAAAAAGAAAAGAAAAAAAGAAAAAAAGAAAAAAAAAACCACAAACAAAGGGAGAGCACAGTTGATATTTTTGTTCCTTTCCCACTAGTATTTCCCTGTTCATGAATGAGGAGCACTGGCAGCTGGTCCAACGGTGTTTTTTCTTATAATTAACATTTCACAATATGTCCCAGAATGAATTTATCTTGTTCAGTATTATCTTTAACACATTTCATGCTATCTAGAATATGGGCTGCAGTGATATCTCTTCTCTTTGCTGATAATTTTTCCTAACACAAGAGGACATTTGTACAAAGCATATTTCAGTGGGTCACTAGTAGTCCTAAYATCGTGGACCTTATGGAAAATACAGAAAGAAGAACTTAGTAGGCTTCTTTTGCTTTCTCTTTGTATTGCACTTCAGTATGTGAGTCAGGTGCTTATTCCTTTTGTGATTCAAATAGGAAAAATCTCACTAAGTTGCATGTGCAATGGCTATAGAAGTTATGTGAGTAATAGACAAAAAACATGTTCATATTTGCTGGCACAATGATTTTTTTGTTTTTTTCTTAATAGTAAGCACCGGCCCACCTCACAATGATTTAGCCAATATCCATTATTTAAAGAATTTCAAGTGCAGTGAAAACTACAAAGCCTGAAGTCCCTCTGGTGCTAATAAAGCCAAAGCACGGGGAAGCAAACTCTACATTACTTATGCCAGCCAGCCACCATCAGGGAGCTAAAAGATTGAAGTAACAAGGGCTTGATCCAAACGTTATTGATTCCTGTTCACATCTATGTGGCTTATCAGCATTTCCCCTAACTGATTTACGAGGGAACAGAGCCAAAACGTGGCAGAGCTCAGAGCAGCTTAGCCTGCAAATGCCTGCGTTGTGATTAAGCAGCGTGAACCAGGTGAGTCCGGCTACCTGCCACCCTCAGCCACTGGCTCCTCAAACCAGAGCAGACCATTCCTGTGCTCAGCACAAGGACACACTCACTCCTGCTTCCTTCCTCCCAGAGCCCAGCTCAGCATCCATGCRAAGGCTGGACCCACTTTCCTTCTGTTACATCAACTTTCAGGGCATGAACCAGGTGTGCTCACTCCATCTGGATGGAAACCTTGCTGCTGTCTCTCCCAGTCACAAAGTGGAGTCCCTTGCCCTGAAGRAGCACGTGAGCGGCACCCAAAGAGCGAGACCTCAAAGCAGCAAACTCAGGAGAAGTTTTAGCTGTTGGCCAGATCTGTTGGTTTATCCGTTCTAGTGGCCTTTAGCTCCAATCTCTACAAAAAGTACATTATGATACCAAGGACAGAACTGGTTTCCAGCAAAGCCTTTGATTCCTACCTTTCATGGAAGAAAGTATAGGGTAGGAGGCAGAGAACTTGCCCTTACAATATGTTTTCYTTTGTTGAAGAGATGACACTACTGCTTGGCAAATACAGTAAGGAGGTACCCAGGACACTAAAAGCAAGACCTTCAGCAGGCAGTAGTCCCAAAACTCCAAAATATTCAAAGGCCAACATCACCTAACCAACAAAACTGCACAGAAAAACAAAACTGGAAAGAAAAGCCTGAATTTGGAAGCAGTTAGGGCAGCAGACTTCCATGATTTATATTCCTAAACAGTATCTAAATGTAACAACAAGAGCACACAAACCGAACAGGGCACTTCATCCAACAGTAAATTTAAGCAGTGAGCAAGGAAAAAAGAGGTATTTTCTGTTTGGGCTGCATCTTTTAATACAAGGGCACTGAACCACAAAACAACCTCGTTTAAGGGAGAATGAAATACAAACTTTTGCATTTATACTTTTAAGTTTACTACTGCCTTATTTATTCAGACTTTGCAAGAGACAGTGCGAGCAGAAGTTGCAACCCTTGATGCCAGGACATTTAGTTATGATGAGCTTGAAGCAATGAAAGAAACCACCAGGGAACCTTTTTCCAGGGGAATTATATGCTTAATTCTTTCTTTCATCATATAAAATGGACCCTGCTAAGTGATGGCAGGAGAGACAGTTACCCTTTCTTACRTCGGCTGCAGGGTACTTAAAATACCACAATTTTCTGGCTCGTTGTTCCCAGCTCCACAGTCTGATTTGTGTTTTGGAACTATTGATCTTCCCAAATCTGTCAGGAAAAAATAAAATAAGATAAAGCTTTCTAAAATCAGCTCATATTAACAAGTTATTTTTGCACAACTCATATTTTTTCTCTAATTTGAACTGTAAGAGCAACATATTTTGAACTTTTCTCAGTTAGCAACATCTTGCAAAGCTTATTTTTCAGAACCTAACTTCTCAGAAGGAATGAGATTTTCAAAGGAAACAAGGACACAGAGTGCACAACTCATACTTTAGTGACAACACAGGTGCCAGACTTTCCCTAGGTCATGATATTTCTGTTGCTTGCTTGTAAGCAAACCTATCTTCAGTGGAGTCCTCATAAAGATGCCCAAGTGTGTTCTGTTTGGTTTTGCATGCAGCCCGTTTGCTAAGCACACCACACAGCAGGCCTTCCCTGCATACAGCCAACACAAAATTTCCATATATGAGCTAACATGACCCACATTTTCTTTTTAATTCCTAGGTAAATAGCACATTTGCCTTCACAGAYGTGACAAGGTAACTTCTAACATCTCAGTATTTCACAGACTGCTTTGCTATCAGGACCTAAAATTTGTCACCCACTTACTGTCCAAAGCAACTACACATTTATTTCACCCCAGTCACACACACACACTCATCTAGGGGAGGAAGCCTCTTCTTGCTTGAAGGAGTAGAGCTCAGAGTTACAAGCTGTCCTTTCCACTCAAAAACCTCTATCTGCAGGAGCCGAACGGCTTTTCCAATGTGAAACAAAACTCATTTAGGAAATGGGCAGATTTCCAGAGGAACTGTCAGAAGGCRATGAGACTGCGTGTCAAACAGACAGAAGTGCAACCCTCAGACGGCAGAAAGGAAAACACTGCCGAGCCCACCAAGGAGCTTCTATACTCATCAAGTCTTACCAGTCAACTGTAAAACAGACCAATTGTTTCCACTTTAATTACAATCCTYGTTGCTAATAGCACCGTTTTCAGCTGAAAATTATTTTGCAATTATTTTGCCACCAGAAAGCTTTGCATGCAGGCCCCCTCATTGAGCTAATGAGAAAGCACTGAGTCACTCCATGTATGACAATACCTGAATTTGTTTCTTTTGTAAATGAGAAGATTTCCACCTCTCAGGTGATTCATCTTTCCAAACAAAGAATCTGACACACATTCAGTTGCAGGGGAAGTATATATATTGCTATTAATGTTATGAAAATAACTGGGCATCAGAGCCTGATAAGTTTAGCTGAAAACGGTCAATAAATTATTTAGTTCACAAAATGCCATTATGTGTGGGGTTTACTTAATTGAATAGAATAATTTATGTTAAAACCTAGAAAAAAGATCAATGCAGATGGCTTGTGAGAATGATTGAGTTTCAGTGAAGGCAATTTGATTTTTATCCCTCATTATAATAATGTTAAAGGGAAAGCATCAACTTTGGTAAAAATCAATATTTGATGAGTGCCTAGGCCATGAATTTTAACTAGAGGTAGAACGGAGGTAGGAATAGGTGTAAATAATTAATAACTTCCATACCCCGAACAAATAACTGTTTTGTTTTGGAACAAATGTCTATTATCCAGAGATCCTTCTGTTCTTATAAAAAATAATTCAGTAATGAGTGCTTGGCTTTTAAAATTCTTTTTTTAAAGTGACTGGCAACATCTTTAAAGGACTCCTGCAAGATGTTTAATCTTTTTATAGGCAACAGAAGGTTAAAATATACATTTTTTTTCTTTCTTTTTTGAAAAGAATAACACACATCCCATTTTTCTATTTCTCTTTATACAGGAGGTATATTGTCAGCTTTGCCATCAAGAGCTGTGCTGACTACAGACTGGTCAAATACTAAAAAAAGTACACATTTCATGAAAAAACAAAACTGTAAATTAAATCTGTACGCAGCCATTTGCCCAGAGCTGCAGCTGCCAGACAGAGCTGTGCCTTTAAAGCAACCTGTACAGTCTGTTTAAAGCACAGTCTTATCATGAAATATTAGTCAAAGTTACGTATTTGTTGTTCTTAGAAGAAAGTATGATCAAGATGACATGAAATCACTGTATATCTTTAATTTTGCTTTGTAAAATATTTCTTCCTCAATCAAGTATCCAAGCCCATTTCCAATGGCTTGCTTACCACGTGCCTTTCACATAAACCCCTTTTACCAAAGCAGCATCAGAGCAGAGGCAGTGTGGACCAGCTGGTGGGCCTCTCTTCCACAGGCTGTTGGTGACATTTCCATTGCCCTGACCCTGCCACAGCACTGACTGGCCTACAAGGTTTCTCTTACACCACCTTCTGTTGGCTCAGATGAATTAGATGGCTTGTCAGGGCAAGTCACGTTCAGCTATAAAACAGGAGAAAAAAAGAAAAGAAAAAAGAAAAAAATGTCTAATATTTCTCTATTGCAATAGTAGGCTCTTGCCWTTTGTTTTACACAGGAAAAAAAGGTGCAGGGCAGAAACTCAATACTTAGTGCATGGAGTAGCTGGAGCCTCCCAAGGGGTACAATGCAACGTACAGTTGGGGACACTCAACTCCCCGCAAAACAAGAAGAAAATCAGTGACTCAGACCCACAGCTAGTGGCAAGACAACCTGCAAGGAGGATGCATCAGGTTCAGGGGGAGGAGGATTCCCAGTGACTCCCTTGGCGCGGAGGTCACATCTCTTGAGACTACGGAGGAGGCTGCCTCACAGATCTCACATACACACGTGGGTCAGGCGCCACCGAGAGCCCTTAGATTCCTCGTACCCACCACTGGGCCAGCACTAGAGACCGTCACAGAGGAAACTGCTGCCCTTCAACAGCTTCCCAGCAAGGCAGCGATTTGTTTGACCCAAGGATTCAACAGGTCACTGATTCTTTTCCATTAAGTCTTTGGCTCAGAGTGAAAACTTGACTGCTGTTTTTCAAAATGTCGTATTAACATCAGGTTGTGCAGCAGATTATGGAGTGTAGAGACAGTAAGATAATAAAAAATGGAAACTTTACACTAGAAAGGAGGTCAGCTAGGAGGCAAACTGCCGCSTTCGCTCCAGACTTGGTGCGAGACTCTGCTATGCGATGCACTTTGCAAATGTTTACAGTCAACTTGCTGAAGTTTCCTCTTATCACAGAGAAACATCCCATATGTGGGCTTGAAAGGAAGCGCTCCGCACAGCAGGGATTACAGGTTAGAATAATAAAGCAACTTCCTGCAAAGCTTGTGAATCTTCTGTTCCACGGTCTGAACCTTACGGTTATCATTCACTTTAATATTTACTTTTAACGTGCAATCCCTTTTAACATCTATTTCTCAGCTCAAACTTCCTTTCTCTTTGTAGCCAGACCCAATATGGGATTAACTCAGGTACCACAACATTTAGAAATATTAATAAGTTAGTCACAGGTCTTCCTATGCAGATGATACAACACAGACAGCAACTCTTCTAAGGCCTGTATTATATCATCAGCTAATTTACTTTTTTACTGGAATCCTCCTGGCTACAAGTTCTGTCACTACAGCTGGGGTTGCCACAGAGTTTCTTACCACGTCTCCTGCCATGGGTTGAGGAAAAGTGCAATACGATTTTTATCAACCCTCATTTACATGAGATTACGCTCCAAGCCACTCCACAGAAATCAATTCACACCTCTGCTGCTCGCAGCAAAACCGCATCTAGAAGTGAAAAAATTAAAGTGATGGGAAACTGAAGCTAAAAATCATGCCTGAATTTTACCCTTGAAAAGTTCGATTTTCCTTGAAAAGCCAAGTTCCCTTGAAGTCTGTCTATTTTCAGTGGCACCAAATACGAAAACTTTGAAAGGGAAGGAACAGCAGCATCAGCAGCATTTGCCAGCAATAGCTGCAAAATTCAGTTAGCGCAAATCAGTCTGGACACTACAAAGTTTATTCACATTTTACCCAAAACCGATAACTCTAAACACCCCAAAATAACCCTGAGTGTGTGGAGGGAAAGGAGCGTACTTCAAACTACAGCCCTTCTGATATTTGTGCTTATTTTTGAAACAAAGTTCCGCAAGTTTGGGAGACTCTCCACCTCTCGTCTGTCTGCTGCAGTGCCCTTAGGTGCATCCTTCCAACATGCTGCAGTTTTGTTTTTGTAGTTCTGAGTCTTGCGATAGCACACAGATGTGTCTTAGTTCACACTGCACTTCTACTTTGCTTGCTTGCCACCAACATGCACGAAGTCATCTGCACAGAACGGACTTCACAATTTTACACCGTCTGGTTAATGACAGTAACATCAGCTGGAAACCACTGCAACGAAGTAGAAAGCAAGTCTTTCATGGCCAGTTTTCCTCCTAGTCCCAAACTAGGGACTARAGGCATGTGTAATGGTAAGAAACACTGCACCAGAAGAATCTTGAGGCAGCAGAATCATCATCTACAAACTTTTAGGATTTCAGAGGGCTACAATGAGAGAAGGGTGCCCTATTCCCAAAGCACAATTCTGTACTCTCTCCTAGAAAGATCCAGGCTGTCTCCAATAAGCCAAATTGGCAGAAGAGTGAACAAACCTGCAGTGCTCTGCGCTCTCACATCATAGCATGAGAAAACTCCCTCAGAGCTGAACCACCTACTTCTACAGCACTGGGCACTTTAGATCGATGCTCTAAAACACCACCTGAAGGAAACTCGTAACTCACGCCAGGGCTGTTTGCAGATCGGGGTGTCTGGAAACTATGTAAACCACATATCMCCAGCTCCGAGTCAAACACAGGTCACTCAGGGCAGAGTATCCGACCATTTGTCATGTGCAGCTGCCCAGGAAGCCCCATGACAGCTGCTGAMTTGCTCCTGCCTTGGACTTGCTCCTTGCCCAAGAAGGAAGTCGGCCTCGGAAAGCAGGATCGCTTCTTGAAGCTTTGGGMCAACATTATACAAGTATGAAAGCTGTAGAAGGGTTGAGCATGAATGTGTTTCTAGAGAAAGAAGTGGAATTTGCATCTCACTCATTTGAACCACTATAAACCCATCTAATCACTCACACACTTGTAGTCTCTTACTCTGAGCATGTTAGACTTTTCATCTGTGTCAATCATTCCTCGACATGTGTCGGTGATACAAATATTAACTTTATTTTTACTTATGAAAAATGTTTTAAACTCTCATCCCTTTCTAAAACATAGAAAGATTAAATCTATATCTAGTTTTGTGTTGAGGATAGGATTAGAAAACAAAATGTTTACTCAGTTTATTTTTTTTTCTTAAGAAAAGCATTTTGTATCCACAGTGTGAAACCCACAGGCTTTTCTTGCGAGGGAGCCAAAGATGAGGACTCTCCTGTATTCTGGTCTGAGACTAAAGCTCTGATCACAAAACATGCAGTATTTTAACAGAAAGCAATATATTACGGTCATGAGCAGGCTTTCATCTTAGACTTCCTCTACATGGAAGGCGTATTCCACCAGCTCTATTGCAAACTCTCAGGGAAGAGATACAGTAATTCCTAACTCACACTGCAATCAGCATCAGACTTCTCATTTGTTACCAGAAAAACGGCACAATGCAAATATTCAAAATAAAAATAAAAGAAAAAAAGGAAAAAAAAAGACTACGATTCAATTTTATGTTGGGAAGCTCCCCTAGAAATATTATATGGATTATCTATGGATGACAGAGAGCTTAGAATATAAATATTATAAAACAGCCTTACCCATTTTTGTTTTTTCTTAGAGATTTCTAATTTTGATTTTAAAAATTAGATACTTTTTTAAAAAATTGTTTTATATATTGATGATGCTCTTTGCCTCTTTTTTTTTTTTTTTATTCTTTCAACTCCATATGATGCTCTTTTATAAGGAACCTAGAAAAAAGTCTAGGCATATCCTAAGGAATAATCTAAATCATAGACCTCTTAAAAGTAATGCCATATTTTACCTCAAGCAATACCACATGCAAAAGTGGACATCTGATTGACAACCATATTAATTTTTAATRCCAGTATTTGCAGTTTTTGCTCTTGCACAAGACATTTTGATTATAATATAGTGTTCAGTAAAAGCACTTGTCAGTCAAAAGGACAGAAAAAACATACACAAAAAAGATGGAGTAGGTGCACTGAAAATATAAACAAATAAAAACAAAGTARCCACATTTCATCTCCCAGTATGGATCCCCACAGAGACCAAGCTGTGGATCTGAGCTGGCCAAACAGATAGAGTAAAACTCAGAGATACAGAAGAATAACACTGCCCTTTTTTTTTTTAAATAAACCAAAGACATAAGAACAGAATTAAGCAGTAATGTAGTGGCGACAGTGGTACCCAGTCCTTTTATTTTTTTTTTTTAAGTCATACTTTTCAATTAATGGCAGTTTTAAGAAGCYATAATGTCCTATTGAAGTACATTTTATATCTTATAGATAGCACAGGCCACACATACAAATACAAATACTTGCATATTTGTATATTTTACATATTGAGATAGCTTTATGTAATGATCTTGGCTAAGTTTTCAATGGCAACTTGAAGATCACAGTCTTTATATGCCACTGTGTTGTGTCGTCTGTTTCTTTCAGGGTGTATTTTATACTAAAACTACAGAATGCCTTACMAGCCTGTATATTGGAAGAGAAAGTAACTTCATCGTTTAAGTTTGGAAAGCAAAAATTCTCTCACCTCATTTTCCTAAGAGCATTAGTTAATAGACAAATTTTTTGTTTCTGCCATAGAAGTGGCAAAAACTTGAGGATAGATAGAAATAAAAGGAGCAATGACAATTCTCCTTCATCCCCCCAGACYGGTGTTACAAAGAACCATGAGCTAAAAAACCCCATAGCTCTTCTTCTATATTCAGACTGCTTTCAGCCAGAGACACTTAAAGCATCTTTACACTACTGCTTTTAGAATAGCCCCCCCAAACCAAAAACATTCCGCTGCAGATAGGCTTTTGTGTCAAAAGGCATTTTCTGAAGTAGCATTTATCAAAAACCAAACAAAAGATAGAACAATCTAATCAAAATACTGAAATGACTGTCTGACTGTATTTTAAAAATCATAACCTAATTAGAACCGAATTGATTTTTCCGTTAGCATGAAATTAAAACTAATTTCCCTGCACAATATTTACCCTAATATTCCCCAGATGCAAATACAGCCTCATAAAACATTTGATAAAAAAAGGTTTCTAATTGTTTCCTGATTTCTTTCATTACATCATCAATTGTATTTATGCTTCTTAACTATCCTTCTTGCTGTCTACGTGGAAAACACATTAACGAAGGCAGAGACAATGAAACACTGCTGAAATTCTTTAACTGCTCAGATAACATGGGCAGATAAAGAGGTATTTTTCAGAGGATCTAGTTTTTCATTTCCTTTCCTAGCCAAACCTGCTCCT